CAGGCTGGATGGTGCTCTGGGCAGCCTGGTCTAGGGGGAGATGTCCCTGCCCATGGCAGGGGGGTTGGAACTAGACGATCTTTAAGGTCCCTTCCAACCCTGACAATTCTATGGTTCTGTGAAAATGCCTGGTTAGGTGCCTGCACAACCTGATCTAATATTAGCTCTGCTTTGAGCAGGTATTTGGACACAAAACTTTGCAGTTTTAAGTCCATAACTCCATTCTTAGGAAAATCAGACAAGTGTCTGACACCTGTATGGGAAAAGCTGGAATACACTTGATTCTGTCGTTTTAAGTTCCTCAGCTGCTGCCCGGAGCATCCCAGTTCTGGAGCGTGGGACATGGTGGAGGGTGAACTCAGGAACCAATGCTGTGGGAGAGAATGGTCCTGCCCTCTGATTGATCTGAACTTCTAGACATATGTTTTAATGAGAAATTCCTCAGTAGGTCCAAGGAAGCATCTGATCAAAACATTTTCAAACTTTCTTCAGTCCTATAAATGAGGCTTCTTTCTGACAAATAGTGGGGTTTGTGATGAAAAAATGTTTTGAAAAATTCCCAGCTAACTGCATTAATTTCTTCCCTAAACAATAGTATTCTTCCCAGAATTGTTGCAAAACATTTTTGCTGATATTTGTTTCAAAACTGAGTTGACTAAGAGGTTGTAATTTTAGCAATCTAAATAATCCGTTTTAAAAACAGATACAAAGGAAGCAAATCACAAATGAAAATTTCACTGGTTTAGCCCTTCAGGAATTATTTCAAATAGATTGTGCTAAGAAAGAGAACTGCATTTGAGGAAATAGCTGTGAACTTCTTTTAAATGGGAAGGAGTGTCATAGCTAAATTAATGTTTTTTTTCCAAAACGTCCCATCTAATATGAAAGTTTAAGCTCAAGTACAGAAGAAATTATAATTATAATATTTCTGTTCTTGTCTTGTCTGAACAGGGGGAATTTGTCTCCTGCTTGTTGTCACTCTTGCGACAAATGACTGATAGACATTATCAACAGCTTCTTGATAGCTTCAACACAAAGGAAGATCTTAGGGTAAGTGACAGAGTTGTCTTTTGACTTGTTCTCTTCTTGTTTCTGTTTTTGATTTATCTCCCTTTAATATATTCCTGTGGTTTGATGAAACACTTAAGTATTTAAATGTAATCTGATTTTCAGATTAGCTAACTTTTTCACAGGCTTTCATGTGTACTGGGATCCACTCTTACTAGTGGGGCTGGAATTCTGGTGCTTCTATAATGACAGCAGATAGGATAGCGGTGGGTGGGGACACCTCTATAATTATTTTAAATCCATAAAAGTAGCCTTCAAGCCAGTTTTAAAAGTCTCACTGAAGTTGCACAGTTATGCTTGATTCTTCCTGTAAGCCAGTTGGCTTTTTGTTTGATTTATTGTATTCGTTTGTTTATTCATTCATTAAATTATATGTGGCAGTGGCAAACACGCAGCTTGAGGAATGCGTATTCAGCTAGTTCTCCATTTTTCTTAACTGTGCAGCAAGTCAGTTGGCAGGAGGGCCTATAGGTCTTGTAATGTCTGTCTGCCCAGTTTGACTGTGAAAGAGTAGCTGCAGAGCTCTTTCAGGGCAGCTTTGACCAATTCCATTGATGGGTTTACTGGGTTTATGGAGATTCAGCATTTTTTTAATTCTTTTTTGGAGGAGAGGCCTGGATTTTTTTTTAAAAAGTACTTCCTGCGTTAGGATACACACTAACACTCTGTTACACCCTGAAAAACTTATATAGTACCAGATTTGATCCACACAAGAAATCTTGAGAAATCACTTATGCCCATTTTTCAGCCATTGATCCTAGATAGTAATCATGTCCTAGTGCAATAGTATATTCTTAGATGTTACTCTTAAATTACCATTTGATAAACCTAAGTACTGCCCTGAAAAGGGGAGTGCAATTTCACATTTCCTTAAATTCTTGATGACTTTTTGAAGCTGTTCTGAAGAGAGTGTACCATTCATTAGTCCCTTTTCCTTGTAGCAAGATGGTCGTATTGAGCTTGGAAGGCAGAAAAAGCTACTGAGAAATTATCTATCATGGATCATAGAATCATAGAATGGCATAGGCTATCAGGAGTGCTACCTAGGAGTTACATAAGGTGGATGATTTTTATACTAGTATTACAGCATCTGTTTTCACCTAGCATAGTTGCTATCCTTAGGCAATTTTTAGTATATGCTGCAGAAGCTAGGCATTATTTACTGAAGATATTTTCCCTTCTGTTTGAGTTCTAAGCAAGTCTGTGTTCCTAGTTTTAGATTTCTATATTTCCTAGAGGGTTCAAGCTTGATTTCTGTTTGATGTATCTATGAAATACAGTGTTTAGTTTATTCAGACTTTCATGCTTCTAGAACATGAAAAATCTCTAGAATTAATGCCTAAATGGTGTTTGATTTGGCACATTTAAATTCACCTCATGCATATATCCTACTATTATACAGAGGCATATGGAAAGCAGCTATAGACAGTGCCATCAGCTATCAAAATAGAGGTCTTAAGAACTCAAGTCCAGAGTTTGTTATTTCCGCTCAGATCTCATTAAATCAACATCAATTCCACCAGTGATTCAGTGGCAGTAGGTTGATCATAATTAATGCAGCATTCCTTCTCTTCTGAATCTTAAATATTGTATTGGGGTTTTTTCCTCACTTGGAAATATCAAGTATCACTGAAATGTGTATAACTGAAAGCAAGAGGGAAAGATGAGAGCATGTACGTGAGGCTGACACCGCTGTCAGTCATGAGGTGATTGTGTGACCTGGCCTGGCTAAAACATCTTGCCACTTAGCTCAGGGATTTTTTGCTTTGTTAGCCAAGTGTGGAACTTCCTTGTTATATTGTACTGGTTTAAGATATGCTTCTTAGGAGGTGACGTCAATATGAGTAACTGAAGATTCAGATGTAAATATCTGTGATAAGAATTTTTTTTTTTCGTCTGAGATGCTTTTAGAGGCCGAACTAGTAGCCGTAGTTAATTTCTCAGGTAGTATGTACTTTGGAATTTAAGCTGTATTTTTGAATTCTCTTTTTGACCCCTGGTCAGTGATATCAAAGGGTCTCACCCAAGCTATGATACAAGTTGCAAATCTGATTCTGTGATTTGCAAGGGACTGAGTATAACCCAGGCCTTGAAATTGCTGTCTACAGTGGTTTTTTGCTTTGACTACCTCTGTTTATAATTAACCGTCTATACTGAACAATTAGACACTGTATCACAAGGTATTTCTTTCTTCTAGACTAGGTCTCAAGGCAGCTATGTCAAGTGCTTGCATTAAATGTATTTGCACAGCATTTGTGTGATATGATTAAAAAAATACCCTGACCAAACCACGAAAATTCACTCATGCAGGTACTGGTAAAAGGGGAGTGAAGGTTGTCATTCATTCCAACAAAATATATTTGCAGTTCTTATTCTTTTGTTTTTTTCTTTAAACAGTCTATACCAAGATTATTAAAGGCTGTTTCCAGCATGTTAATCACAGTACAGAAAAATGGATACTTTGAAGGAATGTGTCCTGGGTTTAGCTAAAAACCCAGTTCTGTACGCATGTACCCATTTTTATATGACAGGCACCTGAGTGATGTTTTAAACAAGTGGTTGTTTATGGAAATATTTCCTCTATTTTGTAAATATTTTTACTTTAAGTAATTGACGTGGTGACTATTTTTATTTTAGTTCTTTGAGAGAGCTTTTTTCTGTACAAAGCAGAAGACAGAAGGAACATTTTATATTTGAAAACATACTCCTCTATTTTGTAAATATTTTTACTTTAAGTAATTGACGTGGTGACTATTTTTATTTTAGTTCTTTGAGAGAGCTTTTTTCTGTAAAAGCAGAAGACAGAAGGAACATTTTATATTCAAAAACATACAAATGAAGTAGGAAAGGAATGACAGGGGATTCATGGCTGAGTGGTAGCATCAGAGACTATACTTCACTCACTTTTGAAACGTCAAATTTAACAAGGCAGTAGTTTTAAATACTTCCTTTTATCTTTCAGTATTATTTTAAAAGTATGCTGCTTTTGCTTACCACAAAATACTATCTTCTTCTAGTAAATATATTTTATAGCAGTTTATAGAACAGAGGCACCCTTGTAGGCGGATATTTACTGCTGCAAAAGAGCTCAGATATAATTTGTGACAAAAGGTAATGGTGGAGGTTATAAATAGGAGAAGTGAGAAAGTAATGAGAAAAACAGTATGTGTTAAGACAGTGTAGCTTTGACTGCAGCAAGGTGGTTTTGGTTGATATTTGTAGGGTTTTTACTTAATGGATTAAAAGAAGACAAAGCAAACAGATAAGCTCCTGCTCCTTATTATCATTCATCTATTCGCAGTGTACCCTACCTAATGTGGCAGAATAGATATACAGGAGAGATCTGATGCAGGAAAAGATATTTCATAGGCATAGGTGTAAGCCTTACTAGTTCTCTGATCCCTCTCTTCCAGCTAAAGGAGCTTCAGGAGCCTCATAGCCTCAGCTAAGGTGGTTGGTGAACCCCCAAGTGCAATTTATTCCACTGTTCTCTAATTACCCCTGGGACTCGGGCTGTTTGAGGTCCGTAGGCATGGAGAATGTCTCTGCTGGAGAAGCTCAGTTCTAGCCACCGTTCTTCCCTGCTCGCCTGTGGTACTTCTGAAAGGATGAGTGTTGGGGCAGAGTAGTAGCTACAAAACAGATACTTGGGTGGCTTCTGATGTAGATTGAGGAAGCAATGAAGGAAAGAGGATCTGGGAAAGGACTTGGCTGCAGGATGGAGGAATGTTCCAGGCAGACACAGCTCACTGTGAAACCATCATCTTTCTTACGGGCACCTTGGCACTCTGCAAAAAAAGCTGTGGGGTGCTCTACAAAGACTTGATGCCAGGTCTTTGTGGAAAACTTTGCAGTGTGAACCAAAGCAAGCAATGATGATCAGGCAGTTAGCTTCCGAGTGGGCTGTTGACTCAAAACTAAAATGCTATACAGATACACCCTGAGAGATCCAGTGAAGAGTGTGACCCGCTTTACAGAGGGTTCTGCACGCCTACAGAGAAATACAAAATAAATTCCAAGGCAGTTTTTGATTAAATGAAAAGATGACTTTCCGTCTTTCAGAAGGCCATGCTTCTCACGTAATCACAGTTTGATAATTTCATCAAGCAAATATTGCTACTGGAGGAAAGTGAACTGTGATAATATGATATTATTTAAGTGGTGTAAGATAGTACTAGAGCTTATGTACACTGGCAAGAATATTAAGAGATGATATTTAGAGTGTGTAAAAGGACAAAATTATTTCCTTGATATCTCTTAAGATAGAAAGCATATGAGACATTAATTATATCTGTACTCAACCAACCAAATGTTAGTTCACTTACGCTGCCGGCAAAAATGTATTTTAAATGTTAAAATCTGTTGCTAAATCATTATGGTGTGTTCAGCAGAACAGATACAACTATGAAAGAATAGTTCAGTGAAAAGGAAGCAGTTCAGAATTGATCTTCCATGAATGATAGTTCATAGTAGTGTCTTGTGATATTTGGATCATGAAACAAAAATGAGCAGCTTCATCAGTGCAAAATGCCAGGCATTGCAGTGCTGATCGAGACGTGTCATGGAATCCCTATCTGGAGGTGGGTCCCTTGGGAGCAAACACTGGCTCTGAATATTGATTAGCAGGGCTGACATGTGAAGGATGCCAGCACATTAATGGCGAGTAGTCAACTCGTAATTTACCCTTCGGTTATCTTCGTACTTATAATGGATTTCTATGAAAATGTATTACCAAATACACAAAAATTGAATCATGAAATATAAAAGTTAACTACAGATTACTTCTGTTAATAGAAGCTAAACAGTGAAAATCATACAGCTGGCTAGATATTCTCAAGTTTTTTATAAGGTATAAGGTTTTTTTCAGTTTTTTTCAGCTTTGAATTAAACTACATTTTGTTTATATGCTTTTAACATACTGTAATGGAGATCTGCAGTCCTACTGAGGCTTTTCAAGATGCATCTTGTATCTAATATTGCTTATCACTAAATTGGTGACAAAAATTTCTGGTCTTTCTGTTAAAATCATAAATACTTAGCCTGGTCTTAGTAATTTAAAATTTCATGCTAGTGTCTACATTTGCTTTGTTCTAAAGTTTGCTTGGAATAAAAGATCTATTCTGTTTTTAGTGTAGTGAGCTGAAGAAATGAAGTATGTATGATCTGTCTGCCCTTCTTTTCTTAATAACTTTTGAACAAGCTGATGAATTTCAGCAGGCAGTGGCCCATGGATCTCAAAGACGTTAAGTTCACACCTCACACAGCCTTTAGGTTTTAAGTCCTTAAACTTCTGCTTGTTTTCCCAACAGCAGTTGTTTGATCTCTTCACTTCAGCAGCCAGGCAGTTAGCTCCATAACAGCAGCAACATGTATGGTATCTGGACAACAGGATAAAAATGGGATATGGGAGAATTTGGGATGATGGTGTGAGATGACGTACGGCAGCATTCGAGTCATTGCCCTACTGTTGGGATTATGGCACAGAGCTTCAGAGAATACAGCACAGGAAAGGGAGAAAAAAAAAAGAAGCAGGCAGAAGCATTGAAATTTCATACAAGGTGCAAAGCTATAGGAAAGCAGTCTGGCATAAACACATTGCTTGTAGAGCTACCTGTTTATCTGGGAAGCTGGTCACCTGCATTCGAACAGTCTTGTTATCTGCAATGAGTATTGTTTAGACTCTTTAATACAGATAATTTTTTGGCATTTTGCTCAGAAAACAGGTTGTCTCTCTTACGTAATCTTCTCTGGTGGGTGGGAGCAGGGATCTCAGCTGCCTTTCCCAGTGCCTGTGTTCGTCCCTCTTTGCAGTGATTCTCTAATGAAAGACATCTGTTGTGCAATGCCCGTCATCTCCACTTCAGTAAATGCACTTGAGAATTTATTTCGGTTTTCAAAATTATCTAGTACTTTTTGGTTGTATCTTCATCTCATCTGTGTGTTGGGCTAACTCTCTACAAGTGGCAGGGGCAGAATCAATGCAAAACATTTCAAGGTCAGGTACCACACTGGTTCTGTTGGGCATCTTATAATCACTTGCCTCATGTTCTTCAGGATGTCAAAAGCTCCATATTGCTTGCTGAAAAAATACTGGCAGTATTACACACAATCAAGTTGGGCTATTAGAAATATTGTCCTTGTTGGTAGTTTTATTTGTGAAAAGAAAATCTGAAAAACTGTGTGCTGAGAGAGGGGTAGTTTAGTTTAGTTATTTATTAGTGAGTTAAATGACAAAGAAGATGATAATGCTTAAAGCTCTTAAGCAGTGCTTTCTACATCCAAAGTAGTTCAATATTTTTATTGATTTGCCAAATGAGGCAGGATGGTTAAGTGACCTGTATACAGACAGCTGCGATAACAGTTCAGGGGTCTGGGCATCACTATTAAATTCACTGCTCTTTGCAAACTCAATGATAAAATTGTCCTTACGCTCTCTCTCTTTCCCAGCAAATAATGCTGCTTTTAGAATAAATCTTGAAAGTGATGAAAACCTGGCATGATTAAGGAGATATTCAGAACAGTGTAGTGTTTGTAAAGTGCTTTTTTAATTTGCAAATTGTTCTTGGGATCGCATTTGTGGAAGTGTATGGGTGGAAACCAAATGCATCTTTGACATTTCTCTTATGCACTGCTGTCAATCAAATGGCACATTAGATTATTTTCCTCTGTTTACAAAAAATGAATCAAATCACTATTTGAAGCTTTCTTGAGGAACTGAAGAAATGAAAAACTATTCAGGGGTGTATCTATGTTGAAAATAAATACAATTCTGCTATTTCTGTAGTGATTTTTTTTTTGTCTCTGATTAAAATATTTTTAAAGCTCACAGCTCTTCTCAAAGCAACAAAGACATATGACCACTTCTTTTCCTTCCAAAGGATTTCCTGCTGCAGATTTTCACTGTATTTCGGATACTAATACGACCAGAGATGTTTCCAAAGGACTGGACAGTGATGCGTTTGGTTGCAAACAAGTAAGGCATTTTTAATGTTAATAAAAAATATGGGTAATATGCGAAGATCTTGGCATGTATAAATAAAGTTGTATGATTCATGTCATAAAAATATTAAGTATCTGTTATAATGCTGGCTGCAGTTTTTCAGTTTCAAATTTGAAATTTAAAATCTCTGTACTTATTTTACACAACAAATTCATAATATAATCTGTACTTCTTTCTCTTCTGAATTATAGTAAGCACATATAAGTGGAAACTCAGAAACACTTTTACAGAAGGAAGATGCTAGGCATCAACAGCTTTGTTTTCCAAGTAGCAAATGATATGTCTCAACAGAACTTCATTTCAAATCTGTTTTTTGAAATGCTGAGTTGGTAAAGATCGGTTTACTCTCAGGAAGAAATTATCTGCTGTGATATCATTAGCTGTTTTTTGAAATGCTGAGTTGGTAAAGATCTGTTTACTCTCAAGAAGAAATTATCTGCTGTGATATCATTAATGATGTTTTTGCATGTTTGATAATTTGGTCCTTGTCAGAAAAATCACAAATTAAAAACCATAAACCAGGAAATGGCATTACAGCACAGGCAACAGTAACATAGATCTCTAAGCATTGCCTAGTGATGTTTTGAGGTGTAACCTATTCTGTCTCTGCTCAGGCCTTATTTTTATAGAAGCAGGTTTCCAGCATTTCTGAGAAGTCATTACCCCAGGTCTAAACCTGTTGAATTTTATTTCACCTGTATCATCAGCTTCTTTGCAGGCATAGTTTTTGATCAGATAAGCCAGCTGAACAGTCAACATAATTGTAGAAACACCAGTATCAACAGAGCAGGGGGGTTGTGTTGGACAGACTTAGGAATCCAGAATTCAGGATTGACTTAAACTTTCATGGTACATTATGCAATCCCTGATGGAAGCTGGGTTTTAGTGTATGTTGTGGCTGCCAGCTCCAAGGAGAATTTAAATTCATGGTGCTCTACAGACTACTAGTAACAGTATTACTGTTACAATTAAATTGTGCTAAACTTATGTTCGTGATATATATTTATCATGTGTGTTTGGATATACAGGCCTCTTCAAACTTCTTCATAACTTGAAAAAAATAGCATGTTTTGCTTGTTTTCATTATGTCAGTGCTGCTAATCTTGCCAAGTTTGAATTTCAGGAAAAAAAATGTTAATCAAAGAATGGATATGATAATTTATTTCTGTGTATGATATTAAAAAAGGTATGATGGATACCAGCCTGCATCTAGTAATCATGCATAAGAAATAAATGGAGAAACACAGGAAAGTGAGGAAAAGGCATATGAACTTTCAGACTGAATATATAATCTAAGAAATCGTTCTGTATTCCAGAAACAACTGGCCTAGCAGATGGCTTTGCAACAGCTGACACATACAAAACTAAGATTTAGGAATGACCTTGGCACGTGTTTCTTGGGCTGGCAATGTTCAGATATGCTAAAGATGACGATAAGAAGTTCTGTGAAAGGAATGTTTATTTGCACCAGTCTTCTAGTTAGCACCACACATTTCCTTTTATTAATCCAGGCTCTGTTATTTCTGACCATCTAGGAAGTGTCTCTGTGTCCAGTTCTGTCAGGCAGAGAAGATAGGCAGAACCTCGCAATAACTGCTGGTGGGATGAGGAGCTGATCAGATCGGCTAACTGAACCCCATAACATATAAGCATAAGCGTTACTGCCAGCAAATGGAATATAAACACAGCTTTACCGATTCAGCCTTCAGTAACGGCTTTGCTAGGCGATCGTTCATTTGGGGAGCAAATGCTGGTTTGCTATGAAGCGGGGCCTCGCCTCAAGCCCTGTGTGCAGGTTTGGGCTCCTCCCTTCAAGAAAGACATGGAGGGGCTGGAGCGGGTCCAGAGGAGAGCAACGAGGCTGGGAAAGGGACTGGAGGGAAAGTCCTGTGAGGAGAGGCTGAGGGAGCTGGGGGTGTTTAGCCTGGAGAAGAGGAGACTCAGGGGGGACCTCATCACTCTCCACAACTGCCTGAAGGGAGGGTGCAGTCAGGTTGGGATCGGGCTGTTCTCCCAGGCAACCAGTGACAGGACGAGAGGGCACGGCCTGAAACTGCGTCAGAGGAGGTTTAGGTTGGATCTCAGGAAGCAGTTCCTCATGGAGAGGGTGCTCAGGCACTGGGTGATATGATGGTGTTGGGTCATAGGCTGGACATGATGATCTCAGAGGTCTTTTCCAGCCTCAACAGTTTTGTGATTCTGTGGAGTTTACCAGGTTTACTTAAAAGCGTGGTTTGAACTGAAGGCTCATCATCCCTGTGTTATGTGTCTATGGCTTCATTTCTGTTCCTTTTTGAGGCAGCAGAAAGGAAAATCCACTTCTGTTCTCTCCTCAGCTGCGGAGCACTAGTGTTTCCAGAGCTGTTTCTGAACAAGAGCTCCTTCCTTTAACTTGTCTCTCCCCTGCCTTTGCAGTGACTGCCTGCCTTCAGCTTCCTCGAGGTGTTCAAAAGCAGAGCCACAGAGTAGCAGATGTGCTAGAACCCAAAATCTTCAGGTGCGAATGGAGGAGCTTAGAGGCAGGATGAGAAATTAGGGTGCTGCCTGCACCGCAGACAGCAGCAGCTGTGAGCAGTGGCTCCCAGTGAGCTTCCCAAGCCTCACCTGCTGAGCCAGAGCACTTCGATGTCCTGAGACTCATCAGGATTGAAGGCAAAACTTCTTGAACTCTTGCTCCACTCGTGTCTAAAAGGAGAAAACTGGAAGGCCTAGTCCACCTTTTTAAGACCGAAATCAAATAAGACACGTCTGGATCTTTTGTAACTCCTGCTTCCCAGGAATAAGATGACGGTCGTGATGCCTGTGTCAGACGGTCTCGGCTTCAGACTGGGAAGCAGGAGCTCTTCTGGAGGCTGTGTGTTTCTTGGGAGCTTCATCCATCCCTGTAGTCACTTCAACAGCGCTGTCTTTTCTTCCTCTGTCACTGGAGTGATACAAAAATTCAAACTGTCTGGTATTTACAGGAAGAGAGATTTAGCCTGTCTGAGCCTAGGGAAGAAATGAGTCCCAGCAAGGATATAATCAGGTAATAGGCTTTTCCTAAGGGGGAGAAGTAATTTTTTCTCTTACTTATATATGCAAAACTTCAGTAACTGGAAGGATTTTTAGGTCTTAAAATGCTGTTATTCTTTCAATTTATAATAATATATAATAT